CATGTTGTGAGCACCCAGAACAGAAGTCGATGGAAGCACTCTACATGTGAATCTAAAGCTTCAATTCTTTTGGTGCCTATACCCAGGTGGACGAGGGTCTGTGGGAGGAGGTGCCGCTGACGCTCTACGAAGGCCTTGGCTCCGGCGTGGAGGCGCTGCGGCACATGCAGCGTGCGCAGCACATCGGCAAGGTTGTGCTGACACAGCCGTCGCGCATGGGCTGCCGCGCAGATGGCACATACCTTCTGAGTGGAGGCCTTGGCGCCCTGGGCTTAGTCACGGCAGAGATGATGGCGGAAGAGGGTGCCAAGTCAATGGTGCTGCTCTCACGCCGGGGAGTCGTTAACCACGACTTGAGCGAGGCGTGGAAGAGGCTAGAGAGCTTCGACATCGAGATCCTGATCAATGCCTGCGACGTGGCCCAGAGCGGCGAGGTGGAGAGGCTGGTGACCAGCGTCACGCAAAGCTACCCAAGCTACACTCTTCGCGGTTTCATGCACCTAGCGGCCGTGCTCGACGATGCAACCTTACCTAAGCTCACACAAAAACACCTGGAGTCTGCCTATGGTGCGAAGGTCTGGGGCTCACGGCACTTGCACATGTCTCTGAAATCCAGAGTTGCCTTGGACTTCATGGTGCTTTTCTCCTCAACGTCCGCCCTCTTGGGGTCGCCTGGCCAGGCCCGTGCTGTGCACTGGCTCCACGTGTCGTCTGTTCATATTTGCTTTGCCTGGCCAGGGCAATTATTCTGCAGCCAACGCTGCCTTGGATGCTTATGCGCGGTACTGGAAGGACCGCGCCTTGAGACCGAAACAGCCTAAACATAGACTTCACGCATTGCTGCCGTTTGCTTGCTCTACCTTTCCCGCCTGCTAGCTTCTCGCACCTCTTTGTTCCTTACCTGTACCTGCCTTTTTACCTGCTAGCTTCCGCACCATCTTTGCTCCTTTCCTCCTGTTTTCTATCCATTCATGCAGTTTGCGGTTTCTGTTGACAGATGCCGGCGCAGGCCATGTGTGAGCACGTGGTCTCCGTGCAGTGGGGCCCGTGGCGAGAGCTTGGCATGGCAGCTCAGACCGGAGCTGTGCAGCGCTTGAAGGCGCAAGGTCTCGGCAGCATTTCAAACACAGCCCCTTGGCCATTGCAAGCTATTTGATAAGCCCAGCAAGATGTTCGCAGCTTCATCAAGTCACACAGAGCAAGCACGAAGACTTCACTTCGTGCGTGAAGCAGCGTGGAACAAGTCGAATCAGAGTCAGTCTTGTGTGCTCCGGCTAACGCTTGGCCGGCATCGAGGCAACTGTCGTAGTCGTCCACCCGGTGTATGCTCCACTCCGTCAGCCGCTGTCTGTTTCTATTCCACCCTTCCGCATGATGATGCTTGATGGTGGTGTTGCACACTTCTGTAACGTTGTTGAAGTTGTGTCGGACTCCATGAGCCTCTGCAGCAACTGGCCTCATGCCACCAGCTAGATGGACAAGAGTTCTGGGCGTTCTCAGACTTGAGGCGCTGTTCGGAACTTAGCTCGCCAGGCTCAAGAAGTGCTGTGTTCCCAGCTGAGGTTGGCATGGCGATCCTTTCAGGATCCCTGCACGCTTCTGGCAGCATCATCGCAGCTTGTCCGGTCTACTGGACGCAATACCTGAAGCAGCCACCCGGCAGAGACTCCTTCAGAAACTTCGGGAACACCATGGAACACCCTTCAGCAAAGATCGCAAGTTTGTTTGCCTTTCGAAGGCTTTGCGGAGTTTTTCGCAGGTTGTCCAGTGTATTGTTGACTACCCCCTGTCCTAGCCTTGTCGCATGACACAGGTTTGGGAAACATGTGCCACCGTTTTATCTTCGTGCCTGGGCCTGCAAACCAGATTCGATGCCACATGTTGAATTGTAGCAATCGAGAGCGGTGCTGACAGCAGGCTTCCAAGAAACCAGTCATGGAAGTGCTGGTTCGAGCGAGCAGGGGCTCCGGGCGACCGGAAACACCACAAACGTGGTCAAAGGTTTCGCACCTTCGCGTGACCTAGTTCGTACAGGTATCGAGAACGTGCT